GTGAAAATTTCAAACAAAATGAACAAGAAATACATTTCAGTGCTTATGTAAATGTTATGAGTTTTATAAAATTAATAATGATCTAAAATACAATAGATCCAAAACTTAGCAGTGAAAATTGTTTCTGAAGATTTAAAAAGACAGATGGAAGAGCATGAAGCAATCTGTACAACTGAAAGCATTCAGAAAGCAGCTTGAAAACACGCAGATTTTTCAATTATAAGTATAGGAGTCATATGGCAGCAAATATTTAAGTGCTGCCATGCGACGACAAAAAGCAATAAGAGGTCAATTATGTTTGGAAGAAAAATTTGACACTAAGTAACGAAGTTATGAATATAGAATTTATATCATGTCTTAAAGATATCATTTAGAATGACTTAACATTGAATTTCATTATGGCAAAGCATATAATGCTTGTCTAGTTTATCCAAGTTTTTATTGAAAGCACCATGGCGAGATGATTTCTTGTGTAAAAGAATTATTGAAAAGCTGACAGAAGACTGCACAGTATAACTGATGTTGTCAAATAGTCTGGAGGACACATATTCTTGGCAGCATATCAGTATGTTCCAGACATATGCCACAAGGTTATTCTTAACTCTACTGTAGAAAATTAAGACCAATTTTTAGTTTTAAAAAATATAATGGATCAAGGCTGTGAATTACTACCATTCTAGCAAATAGCTTAAAATACCACAACATAATATGACATGTTAACAATACACATTGGGCTACATTGCTTAAGATCTACAGTCTACAATTCTTTACCCCAAGTTCAACATAATATATATTTTGAACTGTAGAAACTGAACAGTTAGTGCATTGACATTCTCCTTACAGAATTAATTTAATGCATCCTTAGATTTAAATGTTAAATTATGTTAGATGTTACATGATCTTGTATAAAAATTGTGCTACATATATTATTAAATGTTTGGACAAAAACAATTGATATATATTCCATGTTTCCCACTCTTTTTGATTGCAGCTTGTAATTTTCTTTTATATACAGTATAAGTTATTGTTAGGTTATAGACATTCATGTATTTAATAAACTTACAACATCCATACTGAAGTTCTTAATTTTGTATATGCAATATCATATATGGAGCAGATAGAATGGCCAGCTCAATCCTCATACCTGAATCCAATAGAGATCTTTGAAACTACCTTGGGAGACAGGTTGCTGCTTTAAGGCCTCCTCCAGATGAAGGTAGGTAGATATGCTTGAACAAGGATTACTCCATGTCTGATTGTTGCTGCACGGAACATCGCTGCGGCCAAAGTTCTGCAGCTAGGGGTGGACACTAGGTTCTGTAGCTAGGATTTATTATAACTTATTTTTTGCAATGTTACCACACCATTTTTCCTCAGAAAGCTGTGATATACTGTTTCTCCAAGATGTTTTCTCTACCAAGAGTGCAATTTTTTGTTGTAATTCATGTTTGTGTTGAACTTTAGAAACATTCTATGTCATATTCATTGAAAAACTGTTTAGTGAACATGTCCTGTAAATTTCTTGTTTCTATGTTGCTTCATTCTCAAATTAGACAAAAAAAAAAGAAAAAAAAAAAAAAAAAAAACTTGCTGTTCTGTAACTTTTGGAGGGCAGTGTACTTCTCATACACTATCAAGGGGCATTCCCTACTCATCATCACTAATTTCGCTCAAATTTATATGACATGCAGGGCTTGGCTAGAAATTAAAGTACCCAAAGTGGGAGCTCCAGATGGGCAAGTTGCGAACTTTCCCGATATGTTCAAACAGGAATTCTTCTTTTTCCTCTTTTATTGGCTATTTCTTCCTCCTTGGGGATGACGCTAGCTAGGGAGCTCATTAATTTGCTAGCTCTTGACCAAGTAACTTGAACTGTGCGAATATTCTGGAATATATTGAAATTTTTGTGAAATAAAATTGTGAAGAAAATATTGCGGGAAAAATCGAAAATGTCGGACAAAAATGAAACTGTTGATATGTCTGGAACGTCAATGGAAAAAGAACAGGAGCCAGAAAATAGCATCCACAGCAAAGCAACGATTGAAGATGGCAATGGATTATAGTTTACATCTTTTGGCCAAAAAAAATCTAATCTCATCAGAAAGTTCTGAAGTGATATCCGAAGAACATGTTCAAATGGGAAATAAAATACATGAGAAAGTAGTGGAAGTTTTATCGGAGTATCGGTTTATATGTGACGAAGAGTTGATCTGGTGTGAAGAAATTTACCAAGAATAATATCAAATGACGGAGGATGCCAGACCGTTGTCAAGCGATGAGTATGAACACACTGAAAAAAAAATGAAAGGGGATCCAGATTACATTTCACTCAACTACAAAATAATGGTGGTTAATCTTGCCAAAGCCCATCCAACGTGGAGTTAAAAAAGTTTGCAAACGAAAGGAGCATCTCGCTTGAAGCATATGTGATATTTGAAAATTTGGCAATAACATATTACAAATGGTGGAACTCGAAAGGATAAATACATAATAATTGATCGTGGACATATGATTGCTTCATAGAAGCATGATGTTGTAACCAGCAAATTACCAAGGGGCCCTTGCTGCTGCCAGTCGAGTTTGAATTCAAAGCCTCCAAATTGTGGGTCATGGACTTAAATCTTATTGCCTTTGTTTAAAGGCAATAAGATTTGTCAGAGGAAAATTACAAGATTTGTGTCAGAAAAAGAGATAGCTACACAAGAGGAAATTCTTGCTGTTGCAGATAAGATCTGACTCCAAACTCAAGCTCTCATTACTCAATACGAGGATTTTATTATCAACACTGCTCAAACAGGTAAGTCAAGAATTCTTATTTTTTATCTCAAATGAAATCTTCTGTTTAACGGTGCATATAATAAATTTACAAACATATATTCTCTTTCCAGGTTGCTAGTACCATTTGTTGTATAATTGAACCTTGGAACATTTAGGGGTAAAAACGGTTTTCATAAAAAGAAAGGATGTGAATAAAGTAACTCTTTTATATACAGCACAATATGCTATGAGCCTTTCCAGAAAACCATTGCAAAAAGTTTGCATATGCTTACAAGAAATTACTAGCTCTTTTGGACAGAAGATTAAAAAAAACTGTAGATGAATATGCAGCAAAATACAAGAATACAGTCATCACTTCTTCAAAATCTGGAAAACTTACAACAGAGTTGTATAGAAAATTTTTAATGTATGTGATGCAGTCATACATACAAGAAAACAAATTTCTTCTGCTGATTAACTTGTGAGGAAGACAAACAAATCTGCTCTCACAATTACATGATGAGCTCTTCCAAAATGAAGGATTGCCAACATATAGCATCAAAGTAATTCCCCCTATGGTGCAACCCTGCAATGTATATTTTTATCGTCAAGTTAAAAACTTTATTTTAAAAAAATGCAAAATTGCTCTTATTTCATCGAGCAAGAAAAAGAAATAATTTCCTAAGAAGACAGCATAAAAATACATTTGATTGTTTATCATCAATTATTCACGCCAATATTCGGTAACATATTACGTTATATGTGGTTTGCTTCTAAACTTTTGATGACAGAGAATGCTTTATGAATGTCAATCAAGTATGTTTTTCTATGGAGACCTTGAAACAACAATACAGTTGTAAAAATATGGCGTTTATAACATGTGCTAGATGCAAAAATAATTATTGTTTTCCCTGTTTCTACGATAAATATCATCCCAACACATGTAAATCATTGAATGTCAATGAATAAAGTTTTGAATTTTCATGTACAAAGTCTTTTTGTATGCACTTTAATTACAATCCCTTGTTGAAAAGTCAGAAATCCCTATTTTTTACCTTTTCTATGCCTTTTGCGTATAAATAAAATAAATTATTCACCTCTTAGCTCAATTGGAAAAAGAATAATGTAAAAATTGAAAAAAAGAGAAGAAAAAGAGGCTCCACATGGGGAGTCGAACCCATGATCATCGAATTACTAGTCTGAGCTCTTATCGCTATACCAACAGCTGCTTGGCAAACATGATAACATAAATGGCTTATATGATGCAATAGTAGCGCTAACATTTTTATTTTCTAAATGCTTAGCCATCTGAAGTTCCCACTTTGGGTACTTTAATTTTTAGCCAAGCCCTGCATAGCCTATAAATTTGAACAAAATCGGTGATGATGAGTAGGGAATGCCCTCTTATATGAGTCGTAGGGATTTCAATATAATGTTTATGCAAATTTTAAATTTCTTATTCAAATTTTCAATTAAAATGAAAATTATTACAGGCTATTTTAGCATTATTTAAAGCAATATAATTTTAAAACTTAGAAGTTTAAAAAATGCAGTTTCATAGCAAAATATTATTTTACAAGGAAATTCGTTAGCTGTACAATAACACAATCATTTCATAAATGTTAATAGAACAAATAGCTTAAAAACAGTTAAATAATAAAATGCCATTGCAAAAATAGAGGTTCTATGTTTTAAAAAAGACATATTTATCTAAAAAATACTTTTACAACTTTACAGATTTATGAATGTTTAGTACTCTATAAGGGAAAGAAAATCCGATATACGAGCATTTACAAATTTTCAAAGAATTCACTGCATAATTCAGTGATAATGACTATTCTTACCAGTTATACATTGGACAAAAAACTTCACTAAATGGCCAAGAATAGTTACATAACATTTGGGTAAGAAAGCGACGACATTTACAGGGATGAATGATAATTAATGAAAGAAGCATTGTGTAACAGAACTTTCCACTTAAACTATCCAGAGCACAAGAAGTTTTACATTAAATGTGTGGATATAATGATAAAAATTACAATAAATGTATTATTAAGTATGAAAAAGAGGAATCAAAGAATGAAATTTGCTCAAACACACTTGATATTCTCACAACAATTAGTTAAAATACTAGCCAATGGCAATATATACAATATATAACTTTCAGTTTTAATAAGAATATATATATATACTAAATGTTGGCATGTGTATACACTAAATGTTTACTAATACTGCCTCACAAGATATAAAATTTAAAATGCTTTTTGAAATTAAATATATTTAAGATGTTGTCCCATTTGAACTTTCTGAATTTCCTGATACAGGAGGTAAAACAGTTTTGGGTGGAAGAAAGCCTTTCCACATTTTATGCACTTCATCTGGTAAATGCTGTTGCCAACTTTTTAAGTAATAGCGAGTATATTTTCGAAGCTGTCGAAATTTACAAAATGTTGCTTCTCCATCACTCACTTGCTTTGTTTTAACCAAAAATCCATTTTGTCTAAAAGTGTCTTCAAGTTTTTGTTTTATAACAGATCTTTGATTTCGTCTACGAGTTTTTGGATGGGTATCTTTCACAAAAGACTTTTGAACAGTGTACAAGGCATTATTAGGTAATGAATGATTAATCACAGTTGAATTTCCTGCTACTGTAGACAGACATTTATTTTTATTCTGATTATTATTCACCTCTCTGTTTATAATACTTGTGTCTTGAAGTTCATTTTTATCTGTCTGAGGCAAAACCTGCCCAATGTTCATAATATTTTCATTAATGGTTAGAGGGCATAAAAAAGTTAAAGGAGTAGCTATTTGAGTTTTCAGCATCTCGGATGAATTCACTGTATTAGATGTATGTAAACTAGAACTACTTGAAGAACCTAAAAAATTATTTCTATTATTTTCACGAGCATCAGAGTTTTTCAAATAATCCAGGCTATCACTATTCATTGAAGTTTTCCCTGAGATGTTCTGAGACAGTGACTCTTCTCCTGATGAAGAAACTGGGCTTTGACAGTTATCATTCAAACATTTAGATGAAAGATCCAAAGGCAAACTTTCATTTTCCTCCATAATTGAGAGATATTTCACATAAGGCACTATTCTTCTAGTTTGCACAGGTTTTCTGCGATGTTTCAGGCTTTGGAAGGATTTGTTTTGATTATTAGTTTCATCACAATCTATTATCTGACATTCTGATACCACTGGATTTTCTATTGCAGAATTCAATACAAATTTTAAAGAATCTATCTTTGAACCAGAATTTGAATTTCTAGCTTTAACTCCATTTGTGTATGTGTCTCTACTGTTAAATGCACCTTTATTTTCCAGTGAATTATTTTGAAGACTTAAATTAAAATCGTATGGATCAACATCATCATCTTTCTTTTTACTGACATTTTCATATTTGGCTAATGTAGACTGCTTAGCCAAACTGCTCACTTTTAAAGATGAATCACAATTAAAAGTAGTTTTACTGCATTCTGAAAGCCCATCAGATGGATTTTGAATGCTTTGAGACCAGTTGGATATGGTAATTTGTTTTGTTCCATGTTCTTCACGTAATCGACACTCAGAATGCACTTTCCACTTTGTTCTGAGGTATCCATTATCTTTTTCTGATGTTACACTTTCAGAAGGTAAAAAGTTATGAAATTTTAGGCCTTTTCGAAGATTTTTACGTCCACGGCTGTGGCACTCTTGTACAGTGTACTTCTGTTTCCTTAAAAATGATGGCTTCATACCGTAACTTCGCCCCTGAATTGGTGAAAATATGCTATACAAATTGCCGTCTGCTATGTGGAAAAGTTTCTGCGAATAGTTGAAATCTTTCTGATAATCTCTGCAATATAAATAATTAAATTTAGTTGACAGTTTATACAAACACCTTAATAAATGTAAAATCTTGATTTTATAACAGTTCAGAAAAGCCTGTTTAAATTTTTTTGATAACCAAAACACTTATTCAACATATAATATGTAATTAAAATAACAAATAAAAATAAAAGCCGTGACAAAAAGATTTCTGTCTTTTCGGTCTATTCAAAGCACTTAGAAGCATCTCACTTCTCCAATAGGTTAAATGCTGATCTTGTAAATAAAACATAAATAATGCACTATCATTTATGAATGTCACAAAAATTAAATATCACATTTGTTTTAATCACATTTACAAAATAGGATCACAGAGTAAATTATACCCTAAATATCTAAGTTCTGATTATGAATCGAAAAGAAAGAGAACTTTTAAAAGCAAATTAAAAAAAAGGAAAGAGAAAAAATTTTTTAAATAAAATCCACTGAAATTTATAAACTTATGTAAGAGGATTAAGAGATAATACTTTAAAAAATAAGTCATTAAAAACGCAGTTGAACTCGATAAGAAGTACCTATCTTTAAATGTCATTGTAAATACAGTACAAAGTCTGTAATCCGGACTCGTTGCGACTTTGGCGATTCCGGATTAGGGGTTTTTCCGGATTATAGATCATCAATTTAAATCTGGTAAGATGGCATGCAGAAATTATACAATTAAAAATATGAACCCGTAATTTATGAAATAAAGAGCAATTATGATCTAAAGAGTATCAAAATTTACAAAAAAAAAACTTTATATTTATTTGTTTACATTAGTAAACATTTCTTTCAATGTACGTTGTTTAAGTTGCTTCGTTTTTTGTGCTAATACTTTCTCTTTAATTCTATAAACAGACATAATTTCTTGTTCAATTACAAAGTTCCACTGTTCAAGTCCTGTAATTGCTGTGTCGAGAATACCAACTTACTTGTCAATCGAAATTCTTTCGTTTTCGATGACGTTATCTGTTACTTTCTTCACTATCGGAAGCGCGCATGGGTAAACGCTTTACTGGCTTTACGCGTATGTGTAAACATTTTACGCGAATGCATAAGTTTGTCGCTTTGAGGTCCGGATTATATTTCATTCCGGATAATGGATGTTCGGATTACGAACTTTGTACTGTAAACATTTTATTAAAATTTTAATAATTATAATAAAATTCCTTATTTCAATATTATTTGATTTTATTGGGTTGTACAAAATTAAGTATGGACGATTAGTAATAGTATCAAGTACACTCATGTCCATAAATTAAGGATAATTCGGAGTCACGCCGAAATCGAACTCTAAAATAAATATATCACCTTTAAAATCACTACACACATCTTCAAGAATCATATGCAAATTTCAGGAAGTAACCAGATGACACCGATGGTACGTCACAATGACGTGAGTGTAAGAGAGTGATATATAAGGAATACAGGCAAAGAAGTAAAATTGTTCGCAGGCGCTTTATAAGCATTTCAAGGCAATAACCGAATAGTTATGACACAAAGGACACACTTGGAGGATTCTTTACGTGGTAGAATTATCGGCTGTCTGGAATGTGGGCGTACCCAACTGGAAGTATCAGACGAACTTATATTTGCCCAGAGTGTCATCTCTAGGCTTTGGCAATGATTCCAAGATGATGGTAATGTGAGTAGACATTACAGCAAAGGTTGCCCCAGAGTTACAACGCCGATTGAGACCGGTATTTGGCAGTTACTGCCAAAAGAAACAGGCGGAGCACAGCCTCAGACCTGTCTCATCAACTCTCTTCAGCCACTGGTACGACAATTTCAAGGCAGACCGTGTACAGACGCTTAGGGCAGATTGGTCTATATGCTCGTAGACCTGTCAGACACGTTCCACTTACTGCAACTCACTGTCGCCTGCGGTTAGCCTAGAGTAGAGAGCATGCATTGTGGACACCGCAACAGTGAGCTTGTGTGATGTTTTCCGAGTCCAGGTTTAGCTTGCAGTCTGATTCTCACCAGACTTTCATATGGAGAGCTCCAGGTACTCGTTACCACCAAGAAAACATCATTGAACGACACCGTTATGGTGGTGCAGGAGTGCTCGTTTGGAGTGGAATTATTCTGGGTTCTAGAACTGACCTGCATGTTCAAATTGGAACCATGACAAGCCAAATCTATTGGGACGTCATTCTGGAACAACACGTACGTTTGTTTTAGGGCGCACAATTTGTGTTTATGGATGACAACGCCCGTCCTCACCATGCAAACATCGTAAGCGAATGCCTTCAATCGGAGATTATCACCCGTATGGACTGGCCAGCATTCTCACCGGACTTGAATCCAGTAGAGCATGTGTGGGATATGCTTGGCCGACGAGTTGCAGCCTGTCAACCTCCTCCTACATGTCTATCGGAACTTCGGAGAGCATTGCTTTTTGAGTGGTCTAATATCCCCCAAGATCAGATCGATAATTTGATACTCAGCATGCCTAGGCGTTGTGCGGACTGTATTGCATCGTCTGGGAGACATATAATGTATTAACAATCATGCCAACCATGTAGTATTGTTTTTTTGTAAATAGGTTTTTTTTGTAATTTGCTCTAGTGACAAAAAAATCGCTAATGTTTTTAATAATATCAAACATATAGCATCTTTTTTTGCTCTTTACCTTTTTTTTTAATAAATAAGCTTTACAAATAAGTCAAATTTGTTTTGCTTCTAACTCTTCCTTTGCCTGATTTTGCATTATCCTTAATTTATGGACATGAGTGAATTTTTTATCAGACCTTGGGATTAAATTTTCAGTAGATTTGCTGAATAAAAGAAAATAATAAAAAAAGAAATAAAGCATACCTATATATATATTAAGTGGCAATAAGGATACTTAAATAAAAAAAATCCATATATTTTACCGAAAACTTGGGAACATAGCCTCATCCACAGATTTACTGCTAGGCTTTTAAAATCAGAATAGTTTAATAATACAGGTATTAAAATATGATATTAAATAGCAGTTTTAAAATTATTAAAAAGAGAGAGAGAAAGAGACTTTAGGATTTTTTTTAATCATATAACCTTTTGTTTGATTACATCATTTCATAATAATTTGATATACAGAGTGATAAGATAAACCGTATTTTATTTAATGTGCACTTAGGGAATATTTTGATACATGAACATTTCTCAAATGCTACATTATAACTGATGTATAAAAGACTCAGTCTTCTCCTAAGTGTGATACTTTTATTCTATAGCTGTGTTATGCTCTACTTGAACACACAAACAGTCACAAATAAATGAAAAATAAAATAATAATCCAAAAATTTAATAAATGACTAATTTGTGATCAATAAGTTAATTAGCCATGAAGGTAAATTTTTTAACATGGTCTCGCTTTAACCTGCTGTATTTTCATCAAAAGTTTTTTCCAAGAACTGAATTTCCAATGCTACTTCTATGAAAAAATATAATGCATACACTCAGGCAAGATATTATTTTAACATATCTTGTCTCTCAGAGACAAGATACATTGTCTAGAAAACAAAGCTAAATATGCGTACTATTACTCATAAATTTGAAAACCCTTTGACTTATTCTTCAGTTATCCCTGACTTTTAGTTGCTTCTTGTACATCATCTATTTTAATTAAATCTCCCCCCCCCCGGCCTGTTTTCGTTAATTTGAAATCATAAACTCTATACACAGAAATTGAATGGGCTAGCAACAAAAATGAAATTAAAAGTAGTGGAGGATTTTGACAAACGAGAACACATGAATTAGATCAGTGGTACTCAACCTTTTTTAGTGCAGGAGGAACACAAGGCAGTTTCAGAAAGCGAAGTGGGCACCACACAACATTTCTGTCCCGGGTGATATTCAGGTCATCCTTTGGCGATATTATCACATTAATATAGTTAACGTTAACCCGTAAGAAAAAAAAAGTGCCTTTATAAAGAAGATAAAAAAAAATGGATCGAGATAGAAACAAAATATACATTTCATGGATAAAATTTTTATTACTTACAATATAGTCATGTCTCTTCTGTTTATGGTGTTGCACTTAATGCGATTTTTGACACTGAATTTCCTCCACCAACATATGTACGTTAGGTGCATATGCTGAGGTTTCCGCACGCAAGCAATTGTCAAGACGCGAATCAGTGAGCCTGCTCCACTTCTTCGACTTCATAATGTTCATGGTTGAAAACAGATATTCGTAGACTCAAAAGAAGATTTGATTTTATATGCAACATTTCTTAATAATGAAAACCTGTTTTTTTTCCACATGTTTCCAGAAGTCTACATCTGTAGCATGTGCTTGAAGGATAATATCATTATTCAGTTCGACTATTTCCAGCTCAAGGTTTTTCACTTCTGTGGCAATAATTCTTGCAATTGTTGTGGCAGTTTCAGTTGCTTCATAGTGAATGGGTTGACAAAAAAGCTTACCACTGGTTCCAGGCAACTGAAATCTTGAAATTGCTTTTCAAATTGGTCCAGAAGCGTCTCAAGATGGCCAGGAAATTGCAAGGATCCAAAATTGTCTTCATTCGCCATTTTTTTCATGCTTGGAAAATAAACCAGGGACTTTGATTTCATTTGAGACATCCATAATGTCAATTCGGCTTTAAAAGCTTTCGCAGATGCTATAATTTGAGACATCTCCTTGTCTTTACTCTGAAGATCCAGATTTGAAATGCTGAGTTTCTCAGTGATATCTACGAGGAAAGCCAGATCAAGTAGCCCACAAAGAGTTACTTAGTTTTTCAATGTGTTTAATGAATTTTTCAGGGTTGCATTACATGAATTTTTCTATCTGCTTGATTAGAGATGAAAACCTTGATAGAACTTTACCTCTGCTGAGCCATCGGACTTCTACATGCAAGATGAGGTCGACTCTTTTATCTTCGAAGTCTTCCAGTAGTGCTTTAACAAGCAAATGTTCCATGAATCGTCTGAAAGTTACATTCCACATTATGTTTCTTGGCCATTGCTACGGAAGCACCACACAGCAAACACACG